GGGGGGGGGGGGGGGGGGGGAGGGTGATATCCAAACTTTTGCATAAATATGTAAAAACGCATGGAAATTACGATCTCTTCAAGCATTCCGTGCAACACTGTGTGGAAGCGGTCATCCCACTGAATTTTTTAGGCGCTGAATCCGGTATTGAGGATGAGGAGACAAATGAAACAGCGGTTCGTGAAGCTGAGAACAAGAAGCCCGGTGACGGCAATATGGATGTTGATTGAGACTCTGCAGCGTACTGATTGATAATTTCTTTTTATTGGTCGGGACATCAAATCAGTAAAAGTTCCGTCTCTTTTTTTGTTATGGATAAGGCTCATTCCTGACACATTCAGAGTATACTTTACTAGCTCATTTCTTTCCGGCTTTTTTTGGCACGTAGTTCCTTGGCTAGTCGTTTTATGGCACAAAAAAATTTCATTTTTTAGGCTTATTTTTGCTATACTCGTTCCAAATTACTTGTTTTTTGGCTTTGCAAAAGTGACTGGATGCAAGTGCGCGTATGTGTACGCGTGTAGATTTTGAGAGCAGTTGCTCTGCGGTTTTTGTAAAAAAGTGAAGAGTTCTGTTTTTTATCAGAACTGCATCATGAATGAAAAATAATTGACCAATGCATGGGCTGCCCATGCGAGATGCGTTTTTTGTACAGTTCTCTACGGTATTTGTCGCTACCAGCATTGGTTTTTCCGGCATATACTTCTAGCTAAATAAATTAAGACTGGCTGACAGAAGTATCAGGAAACACTCGCTTAAAATTTCAGCTTTCTAACTTCTCAGGTTCCCGTACTAGCAATTTACCTGAAAAAGACTTTCGCGAACCCACACGTGGGTACCACGCATACCCGGTGTCTGGGTTTGAGCTCATTAACACCTACTTGGATGGGGAACATCCTCTTAAAATTCCAGTCCTCTAGCGTCTCAGGTTCCCGAGCTAGCAGCTTACCCCAAAAAACTTTTGCGGGCCCGTACGTGGGTACCACGCATAGTCGGGGGCTGGTTTTGAGCTCATTGATGCCTGCGTGGACGGGGAACGTCTTTTTTAAATTTTTTCTTCCCAGCTTCTGTAGTTTCGGAGTTAGCGGCTTGCTCGCAAAGAACTTTGGCGGGCCGATAGTGGGTACCACGCGGGTAGAGGCGCTCATTTTGGGGATGGGCCCGTACATGCATGTAGATTATGTTCCCGGAATTTCAGCTCCATAGGTTTTGTAGGCTTGAGATGAAAAATCGGCACAGACGAACGCGCGCGCGCGCGCGCGCAGACACACACCACACATACACACACAT